AAGCTTGTGCTGGGGATCTGAAGACAATCCAGCTTTTGTTTTGTCAGCTCCAGTAAGTGAATGCCACAAATCCCACAGATGGTACCCCAGACACACAGGCTGTGTTCCACAATGTCCACTGCAAGGAGATGCCCGATCTGGAAATGCAAAAGTGGTCTTCCTTGCAAGTGTTTGGAAAGCTTTATCACTCACTGACAGACCCCAGGGGCCGTCGAGTCCAACTCCCTTCACCCATGCAATCAAAGCACTCCTGACAGATGGCCATCCAGACTCTGTGTTGTTGAAGGCTTTCATGGCCAGCATCACTGGGTTACTGAGAGTTTTTGGGGCTATATGGCTATGTTCAGTAGTATACTTTGGCCACATCATGAGAAGACAGAGCCCCCGGTGGCGCAGTGGGTTAAACCCCTGTGCCAGCAGGACTGAAGACCGACAGGTCGCAGGTTCGAATCAGGGGAGAGGCGGATGAGCTCCCTCTATCAGCTCCAGCTCCTCATGCGGGGACATGAGAGAAGCCTCCCACAAGGATGATAAAAACATCAAATCATCCAGGTGTCCCCTGGCAATGTCCTTGCAGACGGCCAATTCTCTCACACCAGAAGCGACTTGCAGTTTCTCAAGTCACTCCTGACACGACAAAAAAAAAATCTCAGAGGTTTGTGCAGAGGTCTCTTGGAAATGAGGCAAGATGGATCTGGGGAAATATCTGTGGATAAAGTTAATAAAAAAAACAAAAGGAAAAAGGAAAAAATAGCTAAAAATATGTAAAAATAAAGATGATGGGGTTTATATTATCTGTGGACTGTCCAGGGTGGGAGAAAGAACTTTTGTCTGTTTGAAGCAAGTGTGAATGTTGCAATTGACACCTTGATTAGCATTTAATGGCCTTGCAGCTTCAAGCTTGGCTTTCTGCCTGGGGGAATCCTTTGTTGAGAGTGATTAGCTGTCCTAATTGTTTCTTGTCTGGAATTCCCCTGAGTTTGTTCTTATTTACTGTTCTGATTTGAGTTTTTTAATGCTGGTAGCCAGATTTTGTTCATTTTCATGGTTTCTTCCTTTCTGTTGAAATTGTCCACATGCTTGTGGATTTCAATGGCTTCTCTGTGTAGTCTGACATGGTGGTTGTTAGAGTGGTTCAGATTTCTGTGTTCTCAAATAATATGCTGTGTCCAGGTTGGTTCATCAGGTGCTCTGCTCTGGTTTATTTCTAAGTTGAAGTAGTCTGCAGTGCCTTTCATGTTCCTTGATTCATGTTAGGGCATCGCTGCATTTGGTGGTCCCTACGTAGACTTGTCTTCAGCTGCATGGTATACAGTAGACTCCTACAGTGGTGAAAGGATCCCTCTTGTCCTTTGCTGAACATAGCATTTGTTGAATTTTCTATCAGCTTCCTTATGCATTCAATAGTTCCTTTTCCTCTAGCTGGATCTTTGGCCACTTCCGCATAGCTGAATAAAATCCCACATTATCTGCTTTTCATAATGTTAAATGATGTCGTGTTTTAGGATTTCATTGATAATTGCATGTTATTATCATTATGTTAGGTTTCTGTATGTGATGCATTAAATTTTGCCATAATTATGTTGGAAACCGCTTTGAGTCCCCCACTGGGGTGAGAAAAGTGGTACACAAGTAAAGTAAATAAATAAACAAACTTGGTTATATATTAGTGTGGACTCAGTGTGGGTTATCTGCCTTGATATTCTGGATTATTATGGCTATGTGGAAGGGCCCTTTGTCTTGTCTTTAGTGGCTTGTTCTTCAGTTCACCTTGGAGGAGGTGGATTCGCAGATCCTGTTTGAATAGTCTGTCAAGGCTTTAAATGCACTTCTTTTTTGACCCGGGTGATGGTTGGAGTTCTCTATCAACAGACCTCTGAACAAACCCCTGAGGATGCCCGCCATAGATGCAGGTGAAATGTCAGGAGAGAATGCTACTGGAACATGACCATACAGCTCAGAAAACTTGCAGCAGCCCATCCAGACTTAAACACCTCCAGGGAAGAAGCCTCCATCACAATACAAGGCAGTGTGTTTCACTGTCAAACAGCTCTTACAGTCAAGAAGTTCTCCCTCATGTTCTCCATAACTTTTCCCTGCCATTTACATTTATTTATTTATTTATTTATTTATTTCCTGTATTTGTATACCGCCCTTCTCAGCCCTCAGGCGACAATTCGATGGCCCAAAACACTACAGAACATTTAAAAAACTCATTAACACATAATATAAAATCATAACAAGAATATTAAAACATAAATCATTTGCGTCTCTTAATAAAAAACATTGTCCCATATTGTCGTCCAGTCATTCCAATTTCTATGTCTTTTACCTTGCATTTTCAAACACTTGCTCAAACAACCAAGCCTTGACTCTTTCCCTAAATGTTAAGAGGGAGGAGGCTGATCTAATGTCCCTAGGAAGGGTGTTCCATAGCAGAGGGGCCACCACTGCGAAGGCCCTGTCTCTCGTCCCCACCAAACGTGTTTGTGACGCAGGCGGAATCGAGAGCAGGGCCTGCCCGGATGATCTTAAAGTCCTAACAGGTTCACAAGGGAAGATGCGTTCAGACAGGTAAGTTGGGCCAGAACCGTTTAAATCCACTGCTCCATTGTGCCCTAGGGCCCTTCCACACAGCCCTATAACCCAGGATATCAAGGCAGAAAATCCTAAATCATCTGATTTGAACTGGGTTTTCTGAGTCCACATTGCCATATATCCAAGTTCAAAGCAAAAAATGTGGGATTTTAGTCAGCTGTGTGGAAAAGGGCCTAGTCTCCAGGGCAGCAATCCCCTCCCCTCCAAAAAACCAAGCTTGTCCCTTCCCTCAAGGTGACACCCTGTCAACTATTTCATAGCATTGTGGATGGTATTCCAAGGCAGGAAGGACACCATCAAAGCACTCCCGACAGATGGCCTTCAAGGTGGAAAGCCTCCAGAGAAGGGACCTTCCCTTAAATAGGGGATGTGTCTCTCCTTAAGGCAGTGTTTCTCAACATTTCTAATACTGTGATCCCTTAAAATATGGATAACGAGATTGGTTTATGATTTTACGATGAGACGGCGCGGATGATTTAGTGTAATTGTACTATTGATAGTTATATTGATATTTTGTTGTGATATTGCCTTATTGTAAACTGTTTTTTATATGTTGTACACCACCGTGAGTCGCCCTAGGGCTGAGAACGGCGGTCAACAAATGCAGTAAATAAATAAAATAAAATAAATAAATAAATTTAAACAGTTTCTCATGTTGTGGTGTCCCCCAACCATGATGTTATTTTCATTGCTACTTCATAACTATAATTATGCTATTATTATGAATTGTAATGTAAATATCTGATATGCAGGTTTTTTTGTTTTCATTCACTAGATCAAATTTGGCACAAATACTCCAAAAGCCCAAATTTGAATACTGGTGGGGTTAGGGCAGGGGTCCTCAAACTTTTTAAACAGAGGACCAGGTCACAGTCCCTGAAACTGTTGGAGGGCCAGATTATAATTTGAAAAAAAATATGAATGAATTCCTATGCACACTGTAGATATCTTATTTGTAGTGCAAAAAACACTTTAAAACAATACAATAAATAATGAAGAACAATTTTAACAAATATAAACTTATTAGTATTTCAGTGGGAAGTGTGGGCCTGCTTTTGGCAGATGAGATAGGATTGTTGTTGTTGTTGTGTGCTTTCAAGTGGTTTCAGACTTAGGTGGAGCCTGAGTGAGGGCCGGGTAAATGACCTTGGAGGGCCATATCCGGCCCTTAGTTTGAGGACCCCTGGGTTAGGGGGATTGATTTTGTAATTTGAGAGTTGTAGTTGCTGGGATTTAATAATAATAAAACTTTATTTATACCTCGCTCCATTTGACAGATATGGAGCCCCCGGTGGTGCAGTGGGTTAAACCCTTGTGCCGGCAGGACTGGTCGCAGGTTCAAATCCGGGGAGAGGCGGATGAGCTCCCTCTATCAGCTCCAGCTCCTCATGCGGGGACATGAGAGAAGCCTCCCACAAGGATGATAAAAACATCAAATCATCCGGCGTCCCCTGGGCAATGTCCTTGCAGACGGCCAATTCTCTCACACTAGAAGCGACTTGCAGTTTCTCAAGTCACTCCTGACACGACAAAAAAAAAATCTCCCCCAGGGGGACTCGATGTGGCTTACATGAGGCCACGCCCATCAATACAGTACATATATTATAATAAAAACACATGACAATACCAGAAATAAAATACTTAAAATGCAAAGAAATAAATTAAACGACGCAGACAATATAAAACAAACAATTAAAAACAGAAAATTTCACTGGGCAGGGCCACATTCAAAGCTAAAAATTTAAAAACACTGGGAGATAAGACATCCATAAATAAAGTGCATCTAAGGACATTTAGTGCAAAATTTATAGTTAAGCTTCAATCAAAGAGCATTCTGAACTCCACCAATGATGGAATTGAACCAAACTTGGCACACAGATCTCCTATTCCCAACAGAAAATACTGGAAGGGTTTGGTGGGTATTGACTTAGAGTTTTGGAGTTGTAGTTCACCTACATCCAGAGAGCACTGTGGACTCAAACAATGATGGATCTGGACCAAACTTGGCATGGATACTCATTATGACCACATGTGTCAGCTGTGAGAAAAGGCTCTAGTGGAGTTTGGGAGTTGTCGTGGAGTGAACACTGAAATACTGATGGAGTTTGGGAGTTGTAGTTGCTGGGATTTATAGTTCACCTACAATCAAAGAGCATTCTGAACCCCACCAACGATAGAATGGGGCAAAACTTCCCAAACAGAACCCTCATGACCAACAGAAAAGACTGTGTTTTCTGATGGTCTTTTGGTGACTCCTCTGGCACCCCCTCACGACCCCCTCCAGGGGTCCGGCCCTCAGGTTGAACAACGCTGCCTTAGGGGCAAGCCCACGCGAAGGCATGCAGTCTCCTGGACACACTTTGCACAAAAAAGGCCCGCTTCCTCCCAGCCACCCTCCTTACCTGCAGCTGCCACGGTGCCACCGTTCTCCCTGGTGGAAAGCCTGTCAGGAGGCAAAGCAAAGGCCTGCCCCACAAAGTGGAGAAGCGCCTCCTGACCTGTCCGTCTCTGGGCCGAAGATGGAGCAGCCGCCTGAGAACCCCGCCTCACCGCTCGCGCCACAGCTCGCGCTCTCCCCGGGCCACAATGCGCGCGGCCGCCC